TCACGGCAGCAAGCGATTTGTCAAGAAAACAGACTCCTCGATGATAAATATACATTTAAAACCTTTAGAGTGCAACGATAGTGAAGCATGATGGTGGGTATAAGAAAAATTAGGTTTTGGGCTGATGACGATTAAATATTTGCAGATAGAGGGCAGCGTCTCGGGGTGACAGAAATTATATAGTAGGAAGTAGTAAAGCAGAAGAGAAAAGTATTGGGGTCTGGAGTTATGAATGCCTAAATGTAAAAGATGGTGGAGGCAGGTAGGTGGGAAATCAGGTTCTTGAGTAATATGAACTGGAAAACACGATGAATGTGAGGCGGATGGGTGGAGAATTACAGTTGCGATGGGGCAGGGTAAAGCAAATTTCCAGCTGTGAGGACTTTGCTTGTCTTACCTCACTCCTTGAAGTGGGTGTCACATGTGTTTCTTCGTTTTTCCTTCCCTTATTTAGTTAAGCGGTACCTGGGAGACAGCTTTGGCGCCATAGGAAAGGGAGCCATCCGGTTGCGACGTGCTAAGGTAGCCTGCCCCACGCCACTTCCCTTCACTTTGCAATCGGCACCTAACATGAGCATGCTTTCCGACGGCATTAAAATATCTGATCATCCCAGGGATGCTATACCTACTGCCTGATTCCACACTGGTTGCCGGACAGATGCTTCCGTGCAGTGTATATACCTCACTTTGTTTTGTCACACTACTAGCAATATTCAAGTAGAGATTTTGGTGGCATCTGGCGAGGAGGAGGTGGCTCGTTACGCCCAAACGCCCTGACCTGCCCGAAGGTGTTAAGAATTTGTGAATTACATTGGATGCTAATTGTAAGCGTTCCTTGCAGTGTCAGTCTTCCACTTTGTGCTGTAATTAGCAGTTCACACAGGTCAATTTCTTTACCAGACGCAATTTTGTGCGTTTATCAGCAACACAATCATTACTGACTCAGCCAGACAGAAATGAATGGGGTGATGTAATTTTAATACCTTTACTGAATGTTATTTTAAGTGCCTATTTCCTGATATGTGATTGCACTTTATTTTGCACTTCTTTAACAATACTTGCGGACAGGAAACTCCTGTAAAATATGCTTTTGGTAATGCGATCACTGTTGTTCTTTCTACATCAACAAGGTAGCAATCCTGATTCTTGTGTTATTGCCAGAACTCAAACGTTTTACGTGTTTTGGGCACCCCAATACTTACATAAGATAAATATAAACAGATTACGGCTTTATTATGAGCCCTGCCTTGAGAATGATCTAGCAAAGCGGAGTGGCATGGTAATGGACCATTGGATATGATGAGGGAAGGGGGATAAAATTGACCGAGGAGTTCATAGTCCCTGAGAATTTCCGCATAACAAGAGACGATATTTTGTGGCGGAAGCACAATTGTAAATCACTCTTCTTAAGGTGGAGAGATAACTGCCTCGATATTTTGAAGATTTGCATCGAATAGATCGCCTCCGATTCATGCCTCGCCAACGTGACTTGTACATATTTCATGTTACAAGTAGACAGCCCACTAGGACAGTCCGCAATTTACTTTAAGTTCCGATGTCCATTTTAGGTAAATATTTTTTTAATTTTAGTGGTTTTAAACATTGGAATAAAGTATTTATGTTTCATGAATTAAGCTAATGGTGAAACATGTCTTCCCTGCTTCTAAACAATTGAAACTAGAATTCCTTTGGAATTAATTTTTGCATAAAACTGTGCAAAGCCTTCGGAGTTTTACAATGATTACAAACACCATTTTTCTGTTTAAACTTTCTTTAGGACTTGCACTCATGGAAAGGCATTTGCACAAAAATAAGTTATTAATAAGTTAATCCCACTTAGGCTACATGGTATTTTGACAATGGATTTTGATCTAGAAGAAAATATAGCCATTTTACTTCTGCAAAATTAAGAAATTTACCAAGTAAAACAAGTGGGCCAATTAATTCGCAGCC